GAGACAACGAGGCAAGACCAAGGAAAGCTTTCTCGAATGTAACTTAGACCATTTGGCTCAAGTGGCCAGCCCGGCCCAATGAATGAACCTGAGACCCCAAACAAAGACATATCGGTCACCGCACGCCGCACTTCCACCAGCCGACCAGCGCTTCATACTGTGCACACACAGATGATGTATCCCCTCCCACCACAGCTGCATCCGCCCCCACGCACCTACCACCACCGCCGCGCACACCACCACAGCCACCAAACCACCACCCAGCTTCGCTATCACAATACCCGCACCGTCACCCACACCCACCACCCCACCGTCATCAACTTTTCCACCCACCGTCTTTCGCCGCACTTGCCAATTTTCACTATTTTTTATATTTTTTAAATTTTTTTAAAAACATTTTGTCAATTACCCAAACGCGTTTGTAGTTTAATATTTTTTTAAAAAAAAAAAAAACCAGTTTATAAATTTTTTGTAAATATAAACTGAAAACGTAAAACGTTACCAAACAGACCCGTAAGTGTTTACGTTTTCAGTTTATATTTTACAAAATTTATAAACTGATTTTTGTTTATTTAGAAAAACATAAACCTAACCAACCGTTTGGTTTACGAAAAAATGTTTTAAAAAAATTTTAAAATTAAAAAGAGTGAGAAATGGCGCAAAGTGGTAGCGGATGGTGGGTGGAAACGATGGTGCGGCGGAAGACGGTGGTAAAAAAATGATGGCGGGTGGTGGTGGGGAAGACGATGGTGGCAAAAATGGTAGCGAATGGGTGTGGTGGTGGTGGGATGGTAGGGTAGGTGGATGGGTGCTCGGTGGGTGACGGTGACGGTGGTGGGTGGCAAGCGAGTGGGTGGTGGTGGCGGTGGTGGCGAATGGCAGGTAGTGGTGGGTAACGTGGTGCGGTGGCCGGTAGGTGGCGGGTAGTGTGGTGGTGGGTGGCTGCATGACGGTGGCCGGGTGGTTGGTGTACGCGATGGGTGGTGGCGGGTGGTGGTGGTAGCGATGGGTAGTGGTGGTGGGTTGGGGGTAGTGGTAGCAGGTGGGTGGCGGATGGCGGGTGGTAGCGGCGAGTAGGGGTGGCGAGTGTGGTGGGTGGCAGGTGGGTGGTAGGTGATGGTGGTGGTAAGTGGCCGTGGTGGTGGGATGGTGGTAGCGGGTGGGTGGTAGGTGGCGGCGGGTGGTCGGTGGCAGTGGGCTGGTGAGTGGTTCGTGGCGGGTAGGTGGTTGGGTGGTAGTAGTGGGTGGGTGGTGACGGTGGCGGGTGGTGAGTGGTAGCGAGTGGGTGGTGGGTGGCGGAAGACGATGGGTAGAAAATGGGTGGGGGGTGGTGGCGGTAGTTGTTGGGTGGTTAAAAAAAAAAATTAAAACTCAAAACGAAACTCATTTTTTGAGTTTACATTTTTTTGCCAAAATTTTATAAACTGAGACATTAATTTATAATAAAAACAATTTACCAAAATAAGCTTTTTATTTGAATTTTAAAAATTTTTTGTAGAAATATAAAGAAAACTAAAACGTAAGTATTGCCAAACGACACCTATTAATTACGAATTTTGTAATTTTTTTTAATTCCTTTTTTCTGGGGGCTAAGTAAGTCATACAATACCATAAAATTCTTAAGACGGTTGCCCCTATAAATTTGTTATATCTTAAATAATCGAGTGGTTAATCTATATGCTCCTTGAATTTAAATAAAAAATAATATAAATAAAATAAAAATATATATTACTGTAATGATATAACTCATTATGAACTTTTTACTTTTACATATATAATTAAAAAGAATTTATTTAAAATAATAATAATCATCACATTATTCTTATAAAAAAAAATTTATTTAAATTTTAAATTAATAGAATTTTTTTAAGAATATGGTGTAAATAGAGGGTAAATAAAACAATAACTAATCTAGACTATGAAGCACAACGGAATAATTCTCACAATGCAGACCGCGCTATAATAGTGGACCATGCGGCCACGTAGGGTGATATCCCACCTCACCAACCGACCGATCAAAAGCGTACTAAAACTTCAATTAATAACTTGCAGTGTACAGATCTCAGCCACGACTATATGATATACACCTCTCGTCACGAGAGCGAAAATCATTCCTGGTTTCTCTTCAAATCGTCTCTGAAATTCCATGTAGAGAGAGAAGGAGAGAGGAGAGAGAGAGAGAGAGGGAAGGGCGCGTGGAGCTCTGGAGGGGGGGTCGAGCTTTGGCCGTCCGTGGCGCCTTTAGGTTATGCCGTTTACGCACAGGTTCCTTAATTTCTATCTCTCTCTATAATATATTCATTTCCGTACCTGTGTATATGTATTGTGTAAATTTGAATTGTGTATTTGCGTATATGATCCTTTTGTAATAAAAATGTTTTATTTTTTTTTGTTTTTTTTTCAATTTTTTTTAACGTTGGGGGGGGAAAAAAAAAAAGGTGTTGATGATTTGTGTGTATTGGAATTGAATCAGATCTATGCTGATTGATTAATGTTTTCCCCAAGAATTCGTTTTTTTTTAACATTCGTTTGGGATGGGTTTCAATGGTGTTGGGGTTTCGTCTGTTACAATTGAGTTTTTGTTCTGGATTGTGGATTTTGGTGTTATTTTTGCTTGCTTAGGTTATTTACGGTTTGAATTGGATTGTGGCTTTCGATTTAGGTTGTTTTTTTAATTCTGAGAAATTTTTAATTTTATTTGTTTCTAGGGGTTCATAGGAGTTGGGGGTAATCCGCTGAATCCCTGATGGTTCTAGGTTTTATTATGAGGATTTGTGATTTGAATTGTGGCTGCTTGCTGGAATGGAGTTCATATTGATCAACTATTATTTTGTTTTTTGATTTGAATTATTAATCTGATTTTTGATTTGAATGAATTAAAATTGCCCTAAGGATTTGTCTTTTAAATTTCTATTCCAACGAGGCTATTCGCGCTATATAATTCTGGTCCGCTTGTGTGTATGATGGGCAGTCTCCTGAAAAAATGGTTGTTTTACGCTTTAGTAATTTCTGAAATTTGCGTTTAGTGGTGGGGAGTTGACACAACTGCTGTAGAATGAAGTCATGTTGAAGTTGAGACATTTATAACTTGAGGAGCTGAGTAGATTGGTTGCATTTGTGTTTTTGAGGCTCTTAACCATCTTGGTGTGAAGAAAAATGACAACTATAGGAGTAAGTTAGTGAGTATTGTATATTTTGTAAGATAGATTTTGAGAGTATAATGAGTTGTATTTTGGAATGAATTGATGGGATGTTATTTGAGTTACTTGTTTGAGAGATTTTGAACAAATTTGATTTATTGGTGAAGTATAAGTTATAATTTGGGTTAATTATGTTATAAAGAGCTTTTGAAATTGAAAGTGATTGTGACATAATTTTCGATACACCAAAATTGCATTTACAAAACTCTTACACCCAAACACAACCCTCTAAAATTCTATTCAAGACCTTAAAAATAAAAAAAAATTGAAATATTTTTATTCTATTTATATACTATGTATACTATTCGAAAATTTAACACAGTGAAACATTAACCAAGATAAAGAATATAATCACAGTCTAGACATGCAATTTCTCTAAGAGCGCAACTTAATTATCAGCCGGTAACCGGTCGGACGACCGTCCGGTTGGACATCTGGGACACGAATTTCAAAACGCGGTGTGGAAATATGTTTGAAAACTGTAAACCGATCTGCGCATTTAAAACAAAAGGGTAGATCATGATTCAATAGTTATACTGGAATTACAGCCTTATACTTTTATAAATTATTTTTAATCGACAACTATGAAAAATCAGGGCAAAAGCCAATTGTCTTAAGGGATCCAATAGGCAACATGCTTCCGATTCAAAATCCAATCTTCGATTTTCAATAATGATCAATACTTCTATCTCCAAATGAGACATCTCAGTTAAATGATTACTATTTCATAGTGATTCAAATGATCAAATATCCACACAATGTAAAATAACATGAAAACCAACAACCTATGAAGCGACATGTATGGTACGAGATACGGTGTGGCTTCGATGATAAGGTAAAAATCTAAAAAACCTGGGTATGTTTGTAAAAAATATTTGCTTTTAATTTGGAGTAATGCGGAAATTAGGTAAAATGGTTTAGTTGGTTAAAGATCAACCTATAATCAACATTTTAATGTGCAAAAGTAAAGTTATAAATTGAAATTAAATGAGTTATATTAAATAATTTACGAACCAAAGTTTAATTTTAAAATCATGCTAAGCTTGAAAAACATTCAATGAAACAAACTTCACCTCTTTTTTAAAAATAAAATAAAATATTATTTCGGCAAACGTGCGGCTTGGTATATATTAGGTACTCTGGGATGCGAAAAAATTAAGAACAAACAATTCTGGCACGTGTTTATGTATACCCGGTACGTAATGCAAAAGTACCATGCAAATTACATATTTAATATCGGGTACGGCACTGTTTGTTGAAGTACCCATGCTTCATAGAACACAACATACATATGGAAATTGTTTTGGAAAAAAAACAACACAAGGGCTCAAATAAATGATTTACAATGGCAACTATAGGTGCATTGGTCTAGATATTTCCCCCTTCCACACCCTTCGAACTCCGCCTCCAATTAACTCAAACACCTTTGTAACCTTCTCTTGTTTAGTCTTTGCTTACTCACAGATACAATTTCAATCGACCAGTTGGCTGGAATAAACCAAATTACTAGAGTGATCTAAGTGTGTATGATATGAGTAATTTTTTGCAAAACAATTAGAGAAGAGTTTTATTAATCCGTTTGCGCATGAATAAATTAGGTCTTCTTCTTTAACTACATATAGATTAGGTCTCCTAGGCATTTGAAGGCTTTAGGCAATGTTAGGGTGAATGGCTTGTGTATCTCTGTCCGTGTTATAGCCTGCTCAAGTACATAACCTACTTGAACGCCCCTTCAGGCATGTCATGTCAGTGTTTTTTAAGCGAAAAAGCGAACGAGGCGACAAGGTCCCTACACGCCTAAGCGGAGGCGACGAGGCGAGGCGAGGGCTTCATCGAAGCGGGCGACCAGAAATGATATTTTTTCAAAATAAATGGTATAGACAAAAATATAATATTTTCAAGAACCATCATGAGTTATCATTCAAATACTAAATATCCATAAACAAAAGAAAATATCCAACAAAAACAATACAATCCACCAATCAAAGTTCTAAAAATCATCTTTCAACATCAAGCAAATGAACTTCTTCTTCATTATCATTGGCTTCAGCCATATCCCTCTGCATCTTCTTCCTCTCCCCATCTGGAGGAGAATTCATTTATACTCCATTCATGAATTACTGTAAAGAAAATGAGATTAAAACACAACTCACAGTTCAACACTCTCCTTAACAAAATGGAGTTACAGAACGGAAGAACTGGACAATTGTCGAGATGGCATGAAGCATGCTAAAAGGCAAAGGTATTCCTAACAAAATTTGAGTTGAAGCTGCCAATACTACTGTTTATATTCTAAACAAATCTTCCACGAAGGCTGTCCAAAACAAAACACCATATAAAGCATGGCACAAACAAAAGCCCCAGGTAAATCTTTTCAAAGTATTCAGTTATCTTGTTTATGTCTTAATTCCTTCCCAAAAAAGAGAAAAATTTGATGAGAAATGGAAGAAATATATGTTCATTGGATATAGTGATGAATCAAAAGGATATCGTCTGTTTAATCCAACGAAAAATGAATTGGTAATATCTAGAGATGTCGTATTTGATGAAATGACAGCATGGAAGTGAGATGATAACTCCATCTTAGAGCAGAAGGGATTTGAATTTAATAAAGCAACAGAAAGAGAAGGATCTTCAACTCTCCAAGAAAGTCCAAACCTAAATCCACATAACACTCCAAGCCCAAGGCCAAGAAATGACTCTTCAAGAAACTCTTCATTTGAAGAATCTGAAACAACACCAAGAAAGGTACGTTCCATAAGAGAAATATATGAAACTTGTGTTGTAGCATTTTTTGCTTATGAGCCATAGATTTTTGAAGAAGCTATGAGATTTATCTTTTGAGGAAAGGTAATAGAAAATTATAGAGAAAAGAAAATAGACATTCATATGGTGTTTATCGACCTTGAGAAAGCATATGACAGAGTGTCCCGAGATATAATATGGTGGGTGTTAGAGAAGAAATGGGTGACAAAATGCTACATTGACGTGATTAGGGACATGTATGAAGGGGTGGTGACCACTATTAGATCGCCAGTTGGAGAGACAAATGAATTTCCTGTCACTGTAGGGTTACACCAAGGTTCTACCTTAAGTCCTTATCTTTTTGCTTTAGTTATGGACGAGTTGACGATAAATATTCAGGATGACATGCCATGGTATATGCTTTTTGCAGACGATATTGTGTTAGTGGATGAGACTAAAGAAGGAGTTAACACAAAGTTGGAGATTTGGAGAAAAGCTCTTGAATCTAAAGGATTTCGGATAAGCAGAACTAAGACAGAGTACATGGAGTGTAAATTTAGTAATAGTAACAATAACAATGAAAGCAGAAGAGAAGTGAAGATTGAGAACCAAGAACTGTCTAAGAGTGAACATTTTCGTTATTTAGGGTCGATTATCACAACAGCGGAAGAGATTGATGCAGATGTGGCCCATAGGATTAAGGCGGGATGGTGTAAGTGGAGAAGTGCGTCTGGGGTATTGTGCGATAAACGAATACCCACTAGACTAAAAGGTAAGTTTTATAGAACGGCTATTAGACCAACTATGTTGTATGGGACGGAGTGTTGGGCAACCAAGAAACAACATGTAGATGAGATGAGTGTGGCTGAGATGAAGATGCTAAGGTGGATGCGTGGTAAGACTAGACAGGACAGGATTAGGAATGAGTGTATTCGGGAATGGGTAGGAGTAGCACCGATAGAAGATAAGTTGAGAGAGAATCGTTTGAGATGGTTTGGTCATATTCAACGGAGACCAACAGAGGCAGTAGTGAAGAGATGCAATGCTGTAACGGTAGATGGAAGTGTTAGGGGACGGGGTAGGCCTAGATTAACGTTGACTAGAGTTATAAATAGATATATGAATCTACTTAATTTGACTAATGAAATGGCCTTTGATAGGGCCGCGTGGAGAAGAAGGATTCATGTAGCCGACCCCATTTGATGGGACTTAAGGCTTGGCTTGGTTTGGTCTGGTTTGGTTATCTACTACAACTTTGGCCCATCTTTGGTAAGACTTGGCTCTATCTTTCACAAGACTTGGTTCTGAAGCAATATTTATTTTGATCCTCTTCTTGCTTTATAGAGCCTTCATTTTGCCGTGTTTATACAAGTGGCAATTTACTATTTAATATATGTTTAACAATGGAATTGCAGGTTGCTATTGTCAATTCTCAAACACTTGAAGAGGTAGCAAGGCTTGAAAAGGTGAACCCCAAATGCCAAATGATTTCCATTTTTCATTGCTTTCTCCCCTAGCCCACGAGGTGGCTTTTGAAATTGTTGACAGTCTGATGGTTTTTATGTTGGCTTGAATTGTGATGAGCAAGCACTAAAGTCAGTCAGGCCAGCTTCCTGCAGATCTTAAAATTGGTTATAATGATGCCACGACCAACACTGAAGCAACCAAAGAAGACAACGGTCACAGATGAGGAAAACGAAGCTAATGATGGGCCAAGTGATGCTGAGCCTGAACAGAAGAATGAGTCTGCAGACATGGAACAGGTATTAATAGCATTTTACATGATAATTGTAACCACTAGTCATTCTTCCTATGTGTTTTATTGGTACCTGGTATTCTGGTGGCATCATAAAAAGACTATGGTCAACAAGCTTGGATAATTAAACTCAGTGATGTATTTCATTTGAGCAAGGTATAATTACAATTGCTTTTATGGCTAGAATGTTCAGGAAATTGCTGAATTGATAGTAAAGGCCTAGGAAACATCACAAACACCTTGAGATGGAGCAACATAAGTTGTGCAAATTTACGGAAGAAGCACGTGGCTCCCCATTGGAACAAGCACGTGACTCCTAGTTTGAAAACTATTTTGAATTATGTATTTTTCCAACACTAAAGCTTGAAAATAGGCTATTGAGGGAAAAAATAGTGAAATATGAACAAGGCCTGGGAAACATCATGAACATCTCGAGAGGTGCCAATGTAAATTGTGAAAACTTATAGAATAAGCACGAGACACTCAATTTAAAAACTATTTTGAAATTTGTAAATTTCCAGCAGTTAGGCATGAAAATAAACCATTGAGGGGCAAAATAGTTAGATAGGCACGAAAAGGTCTAGAAATTATCATGAACACCTTGGGAGGGATCAACATAAGTTGTGAAAACTTACAAAACAATCATAGGACTCTTGGTTGGAAAACATTTAGGTTTGAAAATAGGCCGTTAGGGAGTAAAATCTTGAAATAGTCCTTAAAAGGCTTGGGAAACATGAACACCTTGGGAAGAACTAATGTAAGTTGTAAAAATTTACGGAACGAGCACGGTAAATTTTGGTTTGAAATTTACTTCGAAATTTTCATTTTTTCTCTTCTAGGTTGCATGTTAACATATTTAATGAATGGTCACCTTAATTATTATTATTTTTTTTTTGTTCTTCTTCTTGCTCTTTTTTTTTTTTTTTTTTCTTTTTTTAAAAATTTTTAGATGACATATTGGAGATGAACGAATTTGGTAACTTGTATAGTAAGAGCTTTTTTTAAAAAATTTACGGAACAGGCACGGTAAATTTTTAGACGACTATTATAGACAAATAATACATATTTTTTCAAATTACTAGATATTGAAAATTGTAAAAGTAATGAATTATAATTCAAAAAAATGATCAAAAATTGTAAAATTTATGGGGTGTGGTGGGTTTTTGTATTTGATAATATATTTAACTGGGTTTTAATTATTTTCTAGTTTCTCTTTTTGGGTTTGTCAGATTATTGGCTTAGATTGCTTTGAACAATTGCATTAGTGAAGTTCATGGTTCCATGCAATAGAAGGAAGGTCTTTCCTTTTATGGTTACTTGACCATCATCATTTTATAAATCACTATTTTGACACAAATTTTATACTGTGTTGTAGCATTCTGATCAGACTCACATGTGGAATTCATTCTTTGTGAGATATGTGTGTCTACTTGTGTTCCTAGCACTGCTTTAAAATAAATATACAGAGTATACAAATTAGACTTATTTGAATAAAAAAAAATTGGTAAACTAAAGTTTCTTTTAAGAATTGTCTTTTTAAATATGTTGTTTTAAATTTTTTTTTAATTATGAAAAAACGTACAAAAATGTATAATGAATGGGTTAACTTGTTGATCATCTATTTAGGAAAATGCTTGAAACCCTCAAAAAGTACTCACAATGATGTGGCAGGATATATATGTGTCAACTTTTGATTTGTTACACTTAATGATGGGGCCAAACTCTCATGTCATGTCATTGTGGATGAACTTGTGGATATAAATGTGTAGGTCTATAGAATTACTCATCTATTTAAATACTCATGGGAAATTTAGTCAAAACCCTTCTATTGGATCCTTATTTAGTGAAAAGAACAACCCAATTTATTTTACTTCATAAACTCCCTAAGAGGAGGCGCATAATTGAGAAAGGACAAAGTAAAATTTTTTTTCTTGGACAAAATTGCCCATGCATATAAATATATATCTCATAGAACTTTTTTGACGAGGAACACATTTATTTTATTTTATACAAACTTAAAAATATTTTGTATGTGTATTTTTTGTTGATTCATCTAGTATGTACTCTGTTTTTTGTAACAGTAAAATGTTATTGTAAGACAAAGTAACATGTTATTGTCAAACAGAGTAACATGTTACTGTTTACGTCAATTTTGATGGTATTTTTATGTTTTAATAATTTCATAGTCGACATGGATCGTGTTTGATAGATCTTGATTAGAGGATTCTAAAAATATCAATTTTATTAAAAACCACAGTTTTTAAAGGTGAATGCGTACCTTGAGGCGTTTTACCCCTCATAAGGCAATGCGTAAGCCTCGGGGCGTTGAGACGTAAGCATTTCAAATTTCAAATTTTAACATTTACCGAATAAATTAAATATTTTTAAATGGTTAAAAAAATAAAAAAAAAATTAAATATAAATGTGTAAATACATTTCGCTTTAATGTGTTGAACATTTTACTGGATAGAAAGAGAAATCAATATTCTTAACTTCAGTGATTGAGCTTCTCACTTGACCATTAACTGTGTTTTTCCTGATTGATTATTTACTTAATTTTTCCTGTAGAATATAGTTGTAAAAATGGATTCTTTTTAATTTTTTATGTTTAAACAATCTAATAGACTAAGTTTAACAAATGGCCAAGGCAACTTTTGCATGTGCATACTCCTCACATGGTTATGCGCAAAAAGCGTAAAAAGCGCACTTAAGACACATATCTCAAACTGCTGGAAATTGTGTTCATGCATATAATATGATAGTGGTGTTGGTGGTAGATAGTGGCATGTATAGAATATGATAGTGGTGTTGGTGGTAGATAGTGGCATGTATAAATGAATTTGAATTTGAATTTGAATTTGAATTTGAATTTGAATTTGAATTTGAATTTGAATTTGAATTTGAATTTGAATTTGAATTTGAATTTGAATTTGAATTTGAATTTGAATTTGAATTTGAATTTGAATTTGAATTTGAATTTGAATTTGAATTTGAATTTGAATTTGAATTTGAATTTGAATTTGAATTTGAATTTGAATTTGAATTTGAATTTGAATTTGAATTTGAATTTGAATTTGAATTTGAATTTGAATTTGAATTTGAATTTGAATTTGAATTTGAATTTGAATTTGAATTTGAATTTGAATTTGAATTTGAATTTGAATTTGAATTTGAATTTGAATTTGAATTTGAATTTGAATTTGAATTTGAATTTGAATTTGAATTTGAATTTGAATTTGAATTTGAATTTGAATTTGAATTTGAATTTGAATTTGAATTTGAATTTGAATTTGAATTTGAATTTGAATTTGAATTTGAATTTGAATTTGAATTTGAATTTGAATTTGAATTTGAATTTGAATTTGAATTTGAATTTGAATTTGAATTTGAATTTGAATTTGAATTTGAATTTGAATTTGAATTTGAATTTGAATTTGAATTTGAATTTGAATTTGAATTTGAATTTGAATTTGAATTTGAATTTGAATTTGAATTTGAATTTGAATTTGAATTTGAATTTGAATTTGAATTTGAATTTGAATTTGAATTTGAATTTGAATTTGAATTTGAATTTGAATTTGAATTTGAATTTGAATTTGAATTTGAATTTGAATTTGAATTTGAATTTGAATTTGAATTTGAATTTGAATTTGAATTTGAATTTGAATTTGAATTTGAATTTGAATTTGAATTTGAATTTGAATTTGAATTTGAATTAGAATTTGAATTTGAATTTGAATTTGAATTTTGAATGTATAAGACACTTGTCCGGTGAATATCATAGTGCATTGAAGGCATGTGAAATATGGAAATATGGTTTGAAGGTGCATCTGTCTCTAATATTTCCGAATAATTTGAATTTTGTTCCTATTGATGCAAGCATGCCAATGACAGGATGTAATCATCAATATGTTGTTTGTTTGCTTCGTTTGGAAATGTTAATGTGTTGCCAAAAATTGATTTTGAGAAGCAAATGTAGCCTTTTAAGTTTTGTTTATTTATTTACCTTATTGTTCAATATTTTGTTACACGATATAGCTGAATGTTAGCATGACGTTCAGACATTTAAATATGTTATCCACTCAACAGTTAGTTTTTGAATTTAATATCATAAAGGCTAGTTTCCGTGAATTATTTGTTTCTAAATATTTATCTTCTAACGGTTAGTTTATTTGGTACATCATGAAACAAGGCTATTCGATAGCATTTTATGGATAGATTCTGTCTGAGATAAAAACACGTTTAATTCATGTCACAGAGTGAATAGAAACACGTTTAGTCCATAGGCAGACAAGTACCATTTATACACAATACACATTTAGGCAAAATGGAAAAAGAACACCAACTCAAAACACTTCTTTCAAGTTGTAGAATGAGGCATATGATGATGAACCATGCCCTTCTTCCAACCATCATCTTGGCTTTCTACTTTCTTTGCTCAAATCATGTTCTTGCAGATTTCACACTATTTCGGGTTCATATCATCAGTGCAGTCCCAGACAATCCCACCCAATTGTTGCTTCAATGCCAATCAAGTGACGACGATCTTGGATATCATTATCTGGGCAATGGTCAAGACTTCCATTGGCACTTTAGGATGAATTTCTTTCAAAATACATGCTTCGATCTTGGATATCATTATCTGGGCAATGGTCAAGACTTCCATTGGCACTTTAGGATGAATTTCTTTCAAACTACAAGCTTCGTCTGCCAATTCCAGCGGAATACAAAGTACACTTGCTTAAATTTTGATCTCAAAAGGATGTAATTCAATACTAAATGTTCAATTTTGTTACTAAAAGTACAACAATAATACTTTTGGTAATTAAAATATTATCTATAAGAAAGTTATTTCATTCTTAAATTTTTGTTTTTAAAATTTTGATTTATTATAGTTGCGTAGACAGTAGTAATATAATTATACATTAATGCTTGGGGCCTTGAAATGTTGAGGCTCGAATGCAACGCAGGATTTTCTTCTCTCTTTGGTCTTCTCTTCTCTCTCTCTCTCTCTCATCTATTCAAACCCCACACCCAACTCACGCCCTCCTCCACATTCCCACCATCCACCATGAACGAGACATTCACAAAAACACATCCACGTCGTAGACAAGGAAGGAAATTAAACTAACGGCAGTCATGTTTTCTTTTCTCCTTACTTCGTTCTCACTCCTCTCCTCACTCAAAATATCAACCCAATCGGATTTTCCCTAGAGGCTCCTCCATTGACGGTGACTTTTCTCTCTCTCTCTCTCTCTCTCTCTCTCTCTCTCTCTCTCTCATCTATTCAAACCCCACACCCAACTCACACCCTCCTCCACATTCCCACCATCCACCATGAACGAGACGTTCACAAAAACACATCCATGTCGTAGACAAGGAAGGAAATTAAACTAACGGCAGTCATGTTTTCTATTCTCCTTACTTCGTTCTCACTCCTCTCCTCACTCAAAATACCAACCCGATCGGATTTTCCCTAGAGGCTCCTCCATTGACGGTGATCGACCGATGCCAACAAAGACGATGATCCTCTCCTAGTAGCTTCAGTGTGACATTGCCTTCGACTATAAAAGGAAATCTAACTTAGTTCACATTGCCTTCTATTTTCCTCACATTCATACAAATTTCATTCACATTTTTTTTTTTCAAAAAAAAAAAAAACTTTCTGAACAAATAGAAAATTGAGGAAAACCAGAAAAATTGTCAAAAAGAAAAGAAAAGAAAATCAGAAAATTAAATTGAGTGTACTGAGCAAACCTAGATTTTCACTTTTACAAACAAATCTTTGATAATGGACAAGTGTGTTGCAGGCAAACTAAGAAGATGACTTTGGAGGGTGTATATTGCAGGGTGGTGGGGCTTCGAGTCGATAGCCACAGTTGTTGCTATATATACTCCTCCAACAGGAAGATTGACGTCGATGGGATCTAGGAAATAGGGATGTGAAGAGAGCCGTTTAGGGAAAAGGAGTACGATGTGATTGTGGGACGTCATCGTTTGTTAATTTCAGCCGGCGTCGCTGTTACTCCGTTCTTCTATTTTTTTTCCCTTTGGTCGTCAATGAAGATTTTGGGGCAAAAGCTTGAGTCTATTTGCCTCTGTTATGTGAGAAAACACTGTCTCTTCGTCCAACACTCACTTAGTTCTCTCTCCGTAATGTGGTAACTTTTAACCCGTTGGATCTATTTTCGCCACGTGTTACCATCCTGTTCACGTGTTACCATCATTCGAGCCATTCGTGGCAGACTTCATTCGAGGTCTGTAGCGGGACTCATAATTTTAATTTGGTAATTTAATGTTTATTGTTAACGGTGTTAATATTATATTTTAGTGAAAATCATAGGAAGCTCTTCGGTACTCTTATTAAGTACAAGAAATGAAATACCAATTACTCTGCACCTCATTAGGACGTTTGTGGTTTAAATCTCCCCATCGACTTATTAATTGATATTTTTTTCCTCTTAGTTTGAAACTTTCTATAAAATTTATATTTAATCTTTATTATTATAATTATTATTTATTATGTTTCATTATAATACCTTATGGGCATGTTTGATTGAAAGGATTAGAGTATGGGATTGAGATTATTAATCCGTGGACCCAATTATCCCATATTTGTTTTAACAATTTGTTTTAGGATTATTAATCCAATGGAATTGGGGTCACTGCTGTGTCTTGTGCCTCATTTTGAAATGTATTATGGGTTTATTTTTATGATCTGAACCGTTATTTTGTAGGATTTGTTGAGTACTTCAAGCCTACCAAAAATCATATTAATCGGATATCAATAACTATATGATTGATAACCAAAAAAATAAACAAGAAGTTTTTCTTTTAAAAAATAGTATAAAAATATGCAATTCGATCATATAGTTATTGATATCCGATTAATATGATTTTGGTAGGCTTGAAGTACTTAACAAATCCTACAAAATAAACGGTTCAGATCATAAAAATAAGCCCATAATGCATTTCAAAATGAGGCACAACAGTCACTGCTGTGCCAAAGGCAAAGCAGTGACCCCAATTCCTAATCGAATAGATAATTAATCCAACAAATTTGTAGGATTATCAATAATGGGGTAGGGGTGGGATTGTGAATACCACACTAATTTGATAGGATTATTTATACCTCACTATTAGTCTTGTGGAATCAAACAAGGCCTATATGAATTTGCTTGGAGTGCATTTTCTCGACAATGGTCAGAATTTTGCTTAGAGTTTCCGGGAAAATATAATTCCACCCACTCTTTTTGTCTGTCAATTTCGGTGGAATTCCAAGGACAGAAGGTTCATTGTTTTCTACAGAACTTTGAAACCTTATTGCGAGGAACCAAAGGAACCATGGAGATGTATGTGTTGTAACACCTAAGGGTTTTTATATCGGAAACGGTAACCCTAATACACCTTACTATAAAATAGATGACTGGTGATTGAATTTTTAAAAAATGCTGTATTTAGAAAAATGTTAACTGTTTTAAAAAATAGAATAAATTATTAATAAGTCCTATTTTTGGAACTTATTATTTATTAAGTCCTATTGATAAATTTATTTGTCTCTCTTGTTTTTATGTATAAATTTATACTGATAAATTTATCAGCAGGACCTTTAGATAAATAAATCTAATCATTAGGATTGATTGGGTAGTGTCTCATTGTTTTTATGTTAATGTAACTTTGATCATTTCCATTTCATATATATAGAATGGAGGATTTCCATTGAGTAACTAACGGTTTTGGAACAGGAATACAAATTTATAATTAATTTAAATTAAAAATGATTATTGCACTTACCATTGGATGATAGAATGGAGAGGATCACAATCTAGATTTTATATGTTATTAATTTTGTTCACTCATACTTCTAAAAGATGAATTATCTAGTCCTTAAAATGAAAGAGCAATACTACACTTCCAGATATAAAAACTCAAAATATATTTAGAATTTCACATCAATAATAGAAATTTATTTTAGGTATAAGCTCACAATATCCACTTTAAATGTCAATCATAGATTTGATATTCTTATTTTTTTTTTTAGGTTCCCTTTCTGGGATCATAGTACTACTGATAATGAAAATATAAAACATAAATACAATTCAAAGTGAATAAAGAAAAAGCCAAATTTGAAGTCCTATTTTAAAATAAAAAATAGTGAATACAAAATTTTGTTGATAAAATTATACCGATCACTTCTGATCAGTATGTTTGGTTTAAATTTTCTGAATTAAATTTTTTAAAAATTGACTTTTTTGTTTTTCGTGTTTTTATTAGTGAATATTTTTAAAAGTAAAATATTTGTATTTATAATTTTCTGATAATGTTAATTTTTTGCATGGATGATCTTTATTGCAGGACGTACCAGATAGACTATTCGGATTATCGATGCGGGTCCAAATTAAAACCTATAAAGAGTATGAAGAGGTATGGATAAATGAGATATGGAGGGGCACTTATCCCAAATGGAATAGAGTATTGTTTCAGGAGTATTGAATAATTTGTCAATGCTAACAGTAATTGAAAAATGTTCTTAAACCACCTTAATTTAATGAGCACCAATTATCATCAACAATCAAAACAAGATTAAAAGAAAAATTTTGTTATTGTATGCCTCTAAGATACATGTTAAAAAAACTTTAAAATGTTATATATTATGTATAAAAGTGAGTGTAAATAAATAATGTGCAATACTTACGATTTCAAATTACACGTTAATAAGACGTGTAATTCTACTAACACGGAAAATGAACATAGAATGATCTACAAAAGTTGATGCGGCTTCTTTCATTAGGTAAGTGAAAAAAAGAAAAAAGAAAAAGGAAAAAAGAAAAAAGAAAAAAGAAAAAGAAAAGAACAAGCCTCTGTGAACAGTTATGTGTTCCATATTCTGTGTTAATAGAATCATGGATGGACTGAGAATTTTCACACAGGGGTGAAAATATACATACTAACAAAAATTTTAAATGAAAAATATGGATTGCAATATCAGTTTTCTATCGACATATAAAAAGCAAAAATAAGATGAAAATATATATAAATAAGCATTTTTTTATAGTATCTAGAAATAGGGTTTGTTGTCAATGGTATTTATAACAAATTATTATAAATTATAAATTTTATTATATTTTGTCTAATTTTTTATTTTATTTTATACTTTAATCCAATGTTTTATAGGTATAGAAAAGCAACTGCTTAAATCAAGAGAGGATGACCACTTAAAATTTGAAAAAAATATTTAGAGGGGGTCAACCTCTATCATTTAGAAATAATTATAATTAATACTACTATAATAAAAAAACAGAGATTTTTGAAATCCTTGAATAGAATTACTCTAATAAGACCCTATATTAATTATGAGTGCATTGACTACCTAGTATATTTAATTGGGTTTCTGTATGTGATAATATATTTAATTGGGTTTATTGGGTTTCTGTATGTGATAATATATTTAATTGGGTTTTAATTATTTTCTAGTTTCTCTTTTTGGGTTTGTCAGATTATTGGCCTAGATTGCTTCGAACAATTGCATTAGTGAAGTTCCTGGTTCCTTGCAAATAGAAGGAAGGTCTTTCCTTTTATGGTTACTTGAATTCATTCTTTGTGAGATATGTGTCTATTTATGTGTTCCTAGCATTGCTTTAAAATAAATATACAGAGTATATAAATTAGACTTAAAATAAATAAACAGAGTACTGACGCTTTTGTTTTGTTTTGTTTTGTTTTATTTTAGTCTTTTTTATTCAAAATAATAAATAAATAATGAATCACATGGACCTATTACATTATATCAAAAAATTAGACATTTCCAAATTTAGATGAATAAATGAGAGTATATTTGGTATGCCACAAGGGAATGATCGTTGTTCAAGCATTTCATCAATAGATTCTAGTTTGTTTGTTTGTTTTGTTTTGTTTTTTGTTTTTTTTTTTTTTAATGATTAGCAAAAAAAATAATTTATTGATGAAAAAGCATAATATATGCAAAATTACATCAATAAAGGAGGACAGTGCAGAAAGCATCATAACTAACCTTAACAATCCCAACTAGATTGGCACCGCAAAAGAAGCACAATCATATGCTAGCACTTAACCCAAGATTGCTGAGAAACCAATCAAAAACATCCAAAGAAGAACAGAACAAACAAAACAAGCACAACAACAAAAAGGTACATCAATCAGCAATAGCAGGAGATTAGTGAGTAATGAGGCCTGTGCAGACAACCTATCAGTGAAACTCCACTCAAATCAACAACCCCCACAATAACCACAGCAAAACCAGAAATAACCCTCCATTCAGTAATCAGCAGAGTAGTAACAGGTGATGACTACTGGTGATGACAAATAGTTCACCTACCAAGCATCTGATGAGCCAACTGGTGAAGTCAAGCAGAAATCCATGCAGCATCTCAGTACTTGACACCTCCACTGCTCCGCCAATACAGCAAACCAATGCACAAGCAGCTCCAAATCATTGAGACTCTAGCAGTAGCATCATACAAAAGCAGCATACACCACTGCTGAGCCAACTTTTAACAGCCACCAAGGCTTGCATTTGAGTAGAACCATCATTCCAATATTACCACTAAGCAGCAGCTCCAAATTTGATTAAAACCATCAGACCAGTAGCTGACCTGTTATAAAAACCAGCAACAGAAATCAATTTGGTAAAAAGCAGCAGCCTGCATACTCATACAGACAACTGCAGACATTCCCAGCCAGAAAAGAAATCCCACAAAAACAGAACCAAAACTGACAGCCACTGCTGAGCATAACATTCTAATAAAACAAATCAACCACCAACAGCCAACAAAGAGTCTTATACATCGGTACACCTAGGTTCTTTCTGCCCAAAACATCATCTCATCCCAATTCTCACCCAGCCATCAACCTTATAGATTCTAGTTAAGGGAGAGCCCGCCAGCTACCTTGGTCTTGAAAGATAATTCAGTACGTGTCACCGACAAATCAAGAATTGCATAAACGAAAAATGGGCTGCTTAATAAAAGCTGAGATGGAGACTGCAAAATTGGAAGTCCACGACCCGTCGCGTGGTAACCATATCAATGAGTCTAAAGATGACAAGATTTCGATGGATTCGACAAAGGAGGCTTCAAGTGTTTTTCTGCTCTCATTTGGGCTTCTGTTAATGCTATTGAAGTATGGATTACGCTTGTTTTGAATATGTGAGTGCTACAAAGAAGTTTTATTTAGAAGGCCTGTGCCTTTGTCCTAGTTTGCAAAAGAAAAATCCAAAAGCTCCATGTTTGATTTCAATGCATCTTTTTATTCATGATGATACAGTTTGTCCCAGTGAATGGATCGGACTGGTCCAAGCTCCTCAAGCAGAGGTCCAAATGATCAAGCCCATCGGATGACCTGCAAACAAGTTCAACGGGAAACGGAATAGTCCCCCAGTGAACCCTCCGACGAGCAAGTTAGGAAGAGAAGTAGAGTGTAGAGGGAGAGATTAGAGATAGGAAAGCTTAACCTTCTTCTTGTCTTCAACGTTTGCTTATATCCTGCGGTAATCATTTCGCTGTCCCTTCCAACCTGCCCTCCTCGCCGAAAGTCTATGCTGTAGCTTACCTTGTTCAGGGTAAGGGGGTCCTGTTCCGATGGAGAGGTGTTGTCGTAATAAATGTTGTGATGGGCTGCATTAATGGTGATGTGCAGTGGCAATAACTTTGCAGATCTTTGTCTACTGATGTGGCTTGTCCTTCACCTGCCGTGTGTCTGAATGTCATTGGCTCTTTATGCCATGTTGGACTCCAGCTGTCCTGGACCTCACCAGCTGGGTTATGCGTTAGGCTCCAAGTGATGGGCTTGGATTGTTCATAGTGATTCATGGCCTTTATGGGCTTATGCACGTCAGTAGTGCCCCATTCCCGAGTGCAGCTTTAGTCCAACGAAGGGAATATTAATGAAGTAGACGAGGGTGTTAAGGATTGGCAGGATGGAGGTTGACTGGTAGGGGTGACCGAGGGGGTGAACCGACCGGGAGGTGGTCTGACCGTGCAAGGCGACCGAGTGGAAGGGCCGATCACAGGGAGGACCGACCGCAAAGGTTGGCTGAGTGGGAGGGTCTACCACAAGGAGGGCCGACCGCGAAGGGGGACGACCGCGGAGGTTGGCCAAATGGGAGAGTCGAATACGAGGAGGGCCGACCGCGGAGGTTGGCCGAGTGGGAGGGTCGACCACAAGGGGGGCCCACCGCGAAGGGTGAGGTGGAGGGGCGTGGGGCTCAAGAGGCGGCGTGTCACGTGGTGATTTGAAGTGGAAAAGATAGGGTGAGGGGAGGAGACTGTGGATCGTGGTCGTACACGTGGCAACATCCTGCGGGGGAGGGGGGAGATTAGGCGCTAGATCAGAAATGAAACGATAGGTCATTATGGGTGTTGAAAAGACAGTTTTGGCGGATGATTTGAAAAGTTTTCAAACTGGCAAAAATTAATTGGGATCCTTGAAATACGGGCAAACCGTGGGCTTTTGGCATCATTCGATTCACTTACTTGTTTACAAAAAATCAAAACATTCCAAGTGTTAATTCCTTTGTTGCTCACGATACACCTCTGCAACACTTTTTCAATTTCCTTGCACCTGCATCCGAAGCGATTCGCAGACATACCATAGAAATGGCCCAAAAAGAAACTGCGAATGTTAGGGTGGATCCACTTGGTGATGATGATGCAGTGGAGTTGGCGCAACAATATAGGATGGAGAGGGGAGGGGAGTCGGTGGTACGATCCCATGGTTCCACCATGATAGCAGCGCCGAAGCCAATCAGCCAGGCAAAGCCAGATCACTAGCATACAAAGGCAGATAAATCAACGGTTAGTGCAGCAGATTTGGAGGCTATGCGAGAAAAATACCAGGTGCCTGCTGAAATAGAGTTATTGTTTCCGGCGTCGACGGAGAGGCCATCTGACGCTAGGCCAGGGGAGTTTGCCCTTTATGAGTAAGCATTGAAGGGAGGACTGAGGATGCTCCTGCCGCAAGTGGTGGTAGATGTCCTGAATCGTTTGGAGGTAGCACCGGGCCAACTAATGCCCACTGCTTGGAAGATCTTACTGGCCTGTGCAAGTGCGTGGCTGAAGGCGAACGAAGGGGCAGCCATGACAGTAGACGATTTCTTTGCATGTTACAAGGTGTCAGGGCAGCAAGAGACTTGGGTCACTCTACAGGCAGCAGCAGGGAAAGGGCTGGTGGCGGGGCTACCGTCGTCGATCAAGGGGTGGAGACCACGGTGGTTCTATGTGTCTGCCAGTGGAGGGGTTAGAGTGCGCACCATTTGGAAAGTGCCCACTAAGTCTATGGAGCCAAAGCTGGGGGCAGCAGCAGAAGAGAGGGTGAAGAGGGTAAAGGAATGGAGGGAGAAGGAAGGGGTCAGATGGGACGAGCTCGTTCAGCCGTCAGCTTTGTTTGAGGAGGGATTGGGTCCACAGCCGAGCGGTGGGGACCTCGACCGAGCGGAGTTGGAGGTTAGGAGGAAGGCTCAAGAGGCGGAGGATCAGACCATCCTTGCCAAAGCTCAAAAATTCAAAGAATCTTAGGAAGACCGACCGCCAAGGCCGGTTGCAAGGGAGCAGATCCGTCCTCGCCCCAAACCCTTGGGGGAAAAAAACTTAGGTGAATTTGTTCCACGACCGCCCCCAACAGATCCTTTGAAGGAGAGGTCTTTGAAGGAGATGGAGGTGTTAGGCGTAGTGAAGAAGAAGAGGAGAGTGAGAAGAAGTGAAGAAGAAGAGCCTACCCAGAAGAGGAAGAGGGAAGTGAGGGCAGAAGAGACCAGTATGGCAAAGGGGGCAGAGGGGGGGGAGTGATGGAGACCCCAGGAAGAGTAATTGTCTCAGAAATGATGGACATTGCCTCAGAGGGTATGGATGTCATTCTAGTAGTGGCGGCGATCGCCGCGGGGGTGGCGGGGGTCGCCCCTAAAGTGCAAGTAGAAAGTGGGGCGACTGGCCCTGAGCCAAGGAGGGAAGAACAGCCCCAGGGGGCTCCTGCACCCCACGGAGAGGGAGTCAGTCTGGCTACTGTGATCTATCATGCTCGTGCGGTGGCTGGACAGCTGGAGGGAGAAGAAGGCCCAGCCAGGGCAGGGGCAGACCGCCTTGTGGGGATCGTAGAAGAGGCAGCCTTACGCTCAGCAGCCAGATTCAACGAGGCTGAACTGCTGAGGGGGTTATGCTCCACTCAAATGGAGGTAACCACCTTAGCAGGGGCTCTGTTGAGGAAGGCTGGGGCTGCAAAGCTCAAGGCAGATAAGGCCAAGGCTCAACTTGGAAGGTTGAAGAAGGAGAGCGCAAACTGGGAGAGTGCCCACGCTGAGCTGTAAACAGTCAAGGTGGAGTTGGAGAACACACGCCGCCAGGTTGTGTCGCTTGAGTTCTAACT